CTGGCCGGGCGGGAATCAAGGGGTGTCTCTTCCCCAGAGCCATGCCCATGCGCAATCTCTGAGCTTTCGGTGGTGCCATAGGATGTCTCTGTGCATCCTGCATTGCCTGTGTGAGCTGGATTAAGTGCCCCAACAGGCTGCTGTGAAAAATGGCAAAGCTTGAAACTGCCTCACAGGGCCCAGGTGAGGGCTAGTGCCTCTGCTTGACTTGCATAAATCAGTCTTGTTTTAGTTCTTTTCAGCATCTAGCTTTGGGTAGAAAATCTAAGACTTCAGGCACTCGCATAGTAGTCTGCAGAGAGCAGCTGGATTTGTATTTGCTCGCAGCTTAAGTCTTCAAGCAGAGTTTAAGCTCTGTGTAGTCCCCTTTTGTTTATAATGATTAATAAAACCTTGGTGTGAAAGTCCAGGTTGAGCAATTGGATCCCAAAAAATTGGGGAATGAGGGAAGGTTTGTAAAGCAATGACAGAATTCCATTCTGCTCAAATTGCATTTGACTGAGGCCTGATCTACATTAAAAAGTCAGTGGGTTGGTTAGGGGTATCTGTTACTACTTAGTAATAATGCTGATAAAATCCCTTGTGGATGCAGTTCTACTGGGACAAGGTGCTTTGTGCCAGTTTGGGTCAGTTTGCTTTGTCAAATAAACGTGAGGTTAGTAAAGCACTTTCAAACAAGTATCTTGCCACTTCCAGTTTGACCAAGGAGAATGTCTAAGAGCAGCTACTCGGGGGGAGAGGCAGAGGGGCATGGGGTTGCTGCTGAGAAGTCACACATGTACAGTGGCCAGCTGAGCGTAGCCAAGGCCTGAAAGTTGCATCTCTCATTGTTCCAATGGCATGTAAAACTCCTAGTGTTGAATGGGGGTAATTTTTCTTTGCAGTACACTTTGTGGATGTGACTTTTTTGTTATAGTCCTTTCAGGGTTTCCCCTAAAGAGGAGTTTCTCCTTTTCCTTGCTGCAAAGACACTCAAACATAAACAGGGGAGCGGGAAACCCCTGAAATGTTGTTTTGCAATCCAAGTGGACTTTATCAGAAACTGACACTACTTTAACATTAGTCAGTTTGCAAACAGTGGTGTCAGTGACATCTGAGCAGCCTGCAGGTAGTGTTTTCAGTTTGCTGTCGCTGTTTATACTTAATATTGCTAATGCTGTATGACTAGTCAGTAAGCACAGCAGAGTTAATGCTTCTTAACCTTTTACTCTTGCATTTCTAAACATGCTGATTGTACTGTGCAGTTTGAATGTTGCGTTGACTTTTGCCTCTCACTTATTCATTTTCACCATCACATCTGAAACCGTGAATAATGGTGCCATGTCTGGCAAATGGATTGGTGCTTATGATCAGGGAAAAGGGTCCCCTTCCTAGCCTGTTGCACCACTGAAGGGGTGAGTTAGGGTGGAGCTGCAGATACGTTGGGTTAAATGATCTGATCTTTCACAGGAGACTTGGTTCTAGATGGCACCAGCACCCTCACCTTGCTCACCTCCACTCTGCAGCACCTGACCCAGATCTTCGAGCAGCATCTGGGGTCCCGGAACCACAGCCATGGTTTTGTTGCACTTCCATCACACCCGGCTGACACCTCTGCCATTCTCCAGGCCCAGTTCCTGTTTGATGTCTTGCAGAAGACGCTTTCCCTGAAGGTCTGTACTGAAAAGGGGCCCAGTGATGCTTTTGTGGGGAAGAAGGGAGAATGGTTCTGGTAAGTTTAGCAAGTCTGTTGATGGGGAGACGGGGGCTGGAGCTGGTTTCTCTGTATCCCTCTGTTGCATGTGTGTCAAAGAACTTTCTCTACAGGGCATCCCCATGATAAGTCACCCCTTCCGCACTAAAGTCATTGACTTGCATAGGAACTGATGTGTTAAGTCCTCCCATTCCCTGCAAAAAACAAACCCATTTTGTGCAAATGGAAGTCAGCTGTGGGGGGGGGACAGTTCTCCACTTCAAGGTTCACTATAAGTCCACATTTTTTGCAACGTACTTAGGACTTGTAGTGAGGGCAGCCTGTATCTGCCTGAGCGCTGGCAGTGCTGTGGGGCAGTGTAGACCCATGGGGTCAGGAAAGTTAGCTACTTTTTGGATTTGTGCTGATTTGGCCAGGCCTATGGCTAGTAGCCTGGTGGCGGTAGAAGGGGAATTTCTAGAAATGCTCTGGATGTACTTCGTTGTTGGCTTGTACAAAGGCCAATAAGAGATGGTGGCAAGGGTAGGCTTCTTGGATGACCTTTGAAGTAAGTAGAGATGGCAAGAGTTAGAGGGAGGATGTTTGGCTTTGCCCCAGACGTAAGAAGGGCACACTTGGAACAGGACCCTCAAAGGAGGGATGTAAAGGGTTAGCCAGTTACCTGGTAAGCGGTTGCCTTCACAGCATGCTTACCAGGGTGCGGGGTTCATCAGTGCCTGGCCAAATATGCAGCTTAAACGATTAACAATTTGAACAGGATGTTACATCCGTGCTTCAGAGCTTATTGAAGGTGTCTGTTACTAATTGCAAGTAGGGCTGTCAATTGACCTGTGTTAATGCTTGTGATTAACGCAGGACAGGATTAATGTGGTGGGGGTCCCCCGCCTCCTGCACCCCCATAGTGGCACAAACACTCCTCCAGCCAGTAGAACAGAGGGAGTTTATTGCTTCTCCAGGGTACAGCACAGCACAGATGGAATCTGGTTCCAGGGCAGGCCTAGGGTGCCTCAGCCCCCCTTGAGATGGGGGAGCCTGGGCCCCTAAATCCCAGCCCCTTGCTTAGGCTGCTTCCTCCATGATACCAGACAGAAACTCAAACTCTCTCCCAGCCCTGCCCCCCAGCCAGGTGCTGGTCTCCCCCCCTCCCTTTGTCTCTCCCTGGGAGGCTGAGCTGTGTGTCTGGGTTAATCCACATTGGGAGAGTCAGTGAGAATCTCCCATCCCAGCGCAGGGGGACCCCAGGTCACAGAGCAGACAGCCCCCCCCCCCCACTATGCCACACAGGCGTTCATGCTGCTCTGCCTCTTTGAAGTGCCACTCCAGCACTTCTAAGGGGCAGTGCAAGCAGAGCTGGGGATCAGCTGGAGTGTCCAGCTGATCCCCAGCTCCATGTTACAAAGCCCCTTTGAAGTGCCCCTCTGGTGCCTTAAAGGGGCAGTGCTGCATGGAGCCCGAGGTCAGCTGGGGACTCCAGCTGATCCTGGGCTCCATGCAGCGCTGCCCAAATTGCACGTGATTAATCGCATGAATAATTGCAATTAGATTTTTTAATCACACGATTAATCACGAGTAAAATTTGTAATCGCTTGACAACCCAAATTGCAAGTGAAACGACCTTGGTGTTCCAAGATGGGAATGATGTGACTGCTCGAAGGCTTGGTCTAGACTTAACTTACGCTGGCAGCTGGCGTGAAAACGCCCACAAAGCGCTTGGGTAGACACGGCTGGGCTGACCGTGCTTCTGTCAGCACAACTAACGTTTATGGCTCCTTTGCTGCCAGACTTCCAGAGTGGAGCCAGAGCACAAGAGCGGCCAGGCTGGGTCAAACCTGTTGGCTTTCAAACAGGGGCTGTTAACAGGGAGTTCGGAGAGGGAGTTCTCCAGGGAGAGGAAGCTAACACAGGACCCCTGAGGGAAGTGGGGGTGTGTGTGTGAGTAGTGATCAATGGCTCGGTGTCAGGTTGGCAGTCAGCTTCTAGCACAGTGTCCCAAGGATCTGTTCTTGGACTGGTTTTGTTCAACATCTTTATTAATGACCTGGCTGAGGGGCTGGGTTGCACCCTCAGCAAGTTTGCAGATGACACTAAACTAGGGGGAGGGGTAGATACGCTGGAGGGCGGGGGTAGGGTCTGGACAGATTAGAGGATTGAGCCAAAAGAAATCTGATGAGGTTCAATAAGGACAAGTGTAGAGTCCTGCACTTGGGAAGGAGGAATCCCAAACATTGTTACAAGCTGGGGACCCACTGGCTAAGTAGCAGTTCTGCAGAAAATTGGAGGATTGGGCCACAAGAAATCTGATGAGGTTCAACAAGGACAAGTGCAGAGTCCTGCACTTGGGACGGAAGAATCTCAAGCATTGTTACAAGCTGGGGACCAACCAGTTAAGTAGTAGTTCTGCAGAAAAGGACCTGCGGTCTACAGTGGATGAGAAGCTGGATATGAGTCAAGAAGGCTAATGGCATATTAGGTTGCATTAAGAGGAGCATTGCCAGCAGATCCAGAGATGTCATTATTCCCCTTTATTTGGCTCTGGTGAGGCCACATCTGGAGTATTGTGTCCAGTTCTGGGCCCCCCACTACAAAAAGGATGTGGACGCATTGGAGAGGGTCCAGCGGAGGGCGACCAAAATGATTACGGGGCTGGAGCATATGACCTACAAGGAGAGACTGAAGGATTTGGGTTTGTCTGCAGAAGAAAAGAGTGAGGGGAAGGCTGCTATCAAATCTCAACTTCCTGAAGGGAGATGTGACAGACCCGGCAAGGTTGACGGCGTCCGCTCAGGACGAATTGCTCAAAATCGGGACTCCTTACAGCCCCAGACTGGAGACCTTCCTAAATACGCCACAAACCAGTCACACCGAGCGCTTCAGCTGCCTGCCTAGCCAGCCAGAAACCTCACAAACATAACCCCTCTGATACCCCAGCTCTTCCTGTGCCCCCGTCAGTCCCAGGCCTGCACACAGGTTAGGGGTTATAGAATCCCATCTCACCTACCCTGAACAGTTCTTCCTGTCCCAAGAAACCAGCCACAGTTCCCAGGGCAATGTACACTCTGGATCTTACACCCAAATCCTTTAGAATCTGACATCTAAAGGGTTATTACTAAGAAAAAGAAAAGCATGAGAGTGAGGTTAAGGAGAATACATTACATGCATCGAATCTCCCAGTTCTCAATGCAGGCTCTTAGCAGTTTATAACATCTCTGCTATCTTAAAAGTCTCTGGTTACATCCTATGTCAGGATGGGTCCAGGGTTCCTCCCAGCTCCTTGTTCCCTGCAAGGCTGCCTCTGGGATCAAGAGCAAAACTGAAGACAAGATGGAGGGTGCCACATGGCACTTACAGACCTCTCCTGGCATCATCTTGGCTGCAGCAGGTCACCTGGTCAGTGGCCTGTTCCTGTGTTCCCTGCTGGTAGCCCTTGGGTATCAGTCACATTCCTGAGGTGTGTACTGGCATCTGGAGATCCACTGTCTCCTTGATAATTAGCACAGCCATAGGCTGAGCATTCCTTGCTCCTTTGCTCAGCCACAGACAGAATTTTCCAGCATCCACACAGTCCATGTTTCTAACGCCACACACAGATGTCACACTGTTACATGACTAGCGCACACAGATGTCACACTGTTACATGACTAGCGCACACAGATCTCACACCGTTACATGACTAGCGCACACAGAATCAGTAGAACAGAAGCTTTCGTTTGACACCTCATGTGGCCCCCTTTGTATGCACTTTGGGGCAAACACCCCCCCATGGGTGCAGCAGTGATCTGGCTGCTCCCCTTAAAATCCAGTAACGTGACAGGAGGTTCCAAAGAGGCTGGAGAGAGGCTGTTCTCAGTAGTGACGGATGGCAGAACAAGGAGCAATGGGCTCAAGTGGCAGTGTGGGCTTTCCCTAGGTGGATGGTGAAGCACTGGGATGGGTTCCCTAGGGAGGGGGTGGAATCTCCGTCCCTAGGGGTGTTTAAGTCTTGGTTGGACAAAGCCCTGGCTGGGATGATTGAGTTGGGTTGATCCTGCCTTGGGCAGGCAGCTGGACTTGACGATTCCTGAGGTCTCTGCCAGCCCTAGGAGTCTTTGAAACCAAAGGTCCATCTAGTCCAGTATCTTGTCTCAGCGGCCAATGCCAGCTGCCCCAGAGGGAGTGGACAGAACAGGTGATCCATCCCATGGCCCAGGCCCAGAATGACCAGTTTGGTGTTGGATCGCCTTGACTGTCACCTGATGTGCTGACAATACCACTGAGCCCACCTGCCTCCCCTTTGGGAACCCCACTGCCTCGTCCTGCTGACTCAGACCCTTCGGTCTCCTCCTACACTGGCACAGCCACAGCCATATAACAGACCAAGGGCAGGCTCGCCCGGGCAGGCTCAGGTCAAGGGACTTGCCTCAGGGCTCAGGTGCGCAGGACGGGACCCGAACCCAGATCCATTTGTGTGTCTGTACAGGGCAGCCTCGTGTGGCCGTCTCGCTGCGTGCTGCCCTTGCCCCCCAGCAGTTACTTGCACTGACTTGAAGTTATTTTGGGGAGGTATGAAAGTGAAGTGCAGACTGTAGCAGGCCAGCTCCGCTTCGTGCACTGAAATGGGTTGCATGGAATCTCTCGCCTGGCCTCTTCTGACCAGCTGCGTTCTCAGACTAGTCCGCCTCCCAGTCTGGGGCTGGTCCTTGCCCCTTCAGTTTGCTGTTTCCAGCTGTCATCTTGGGAGGTCAGCAGGGTGTCCTGACGTCTGTCAGTTTTGGTTAGTCTTCCTGCCGTCAGTGAAACTTGAGTCTGGGGCAGGGGGGCTGCAGCAGGACTGAGACCGGCATGTCTGGGGGAAGGTGCTGCCCACGGACACGGAGCAGAGGGCTCTGGCAGTGCTGAGGTGGTGCGTTAAACCCCTGAGGTTTGAGACTCTGCTCTGTCCATCCCTCTGCAGCTCATTCACGTTCCCAGCTGGAACCTGCAGTCTGCTGTGACGATCTTCCCCTTCAAGTCTCTCCGGCGCCTGGAGGTGAGTGTGCTGGGGCTGGCCGGGCCCTGGCCCTGTGGGGGTGCACACTGGTCCCTGTGGGGGTGCACACTGGTCCCTGTGGCTCCCCAGCTGATCACAGGGCTCCCCGTCAGCTGTGCCGGACCCCGAACTGCCTGGCCTCTGGGGCGTCCCGCCTCCCGCAGGGCTCCCCGTCAGCTGTGCCGGACCCCGAACTGCCTGGCCTCTGGGGCGTCCCGCCTCCCGCAGGGCTCCCCGTCAGCTGTGCCGGACCCCGAACTGCCTGGCCTCTGGGGCGTCCCGCCTCCCGCAGGGCTCCCCGTCAGCTGTGCCGGACCCCGAACTGCCTGGCCTCTGGGGCGTCCCGCCTCCCGCAGGGCTCCCCGTCAGCTGTGCCGGACCCCGAACTGCCTGGCCTCTGGGGCGTCCCGCCTCCCGCAGGGCTCCCCGTCAGCTGTGCCGGACCCCGAACTGCCTGGCCTCTGGGGCGTCCCGCCTCCCGCAGGGCTCCCCGTCAGCTGTGCCGGACCCCGAACTGCCTGGCCTCTGGGGCGTCCCGCCTCCCGCAGGGCTCCCCGTCAGCTGTGCCGGACCCCGAACTGCCTGGCCTCTGGGGCGTCCCGCCTCCCGCAGGGCTCCCCGTCAGCTGTGCCGGACCCCGAACTGCCTGGCCTCTGGGGCGTCCCGCCTCCCGCAGGGCTCCCCGTCAGCTGTGCCGGACCCCGAACTGCCTGGCCTCTGGGGCGTCCCGCCTCCCGCAGGGCTCCCCGTCAGCTGTGCCGGACCCCGAACTGCCTGGCCTCTGGGGCGTCCCGCCTCCCGCAGGGCTCCCCGTCAGCTGTGCCGGACCCCGAACTGCCTGGCCTCTGGGGCGTCCCGCCTCCCGCAGGGCTCCCCGTCAGCTGTGCCGGACCCCGAACTGCCTGGCCTCTGGGGCGTCCCGCCTCCCGCAGGGCTCCCCGTCAGCTGTGCCGGACCCCGAACTGCCTGGCCTCTGGGGCGTCCCGCCTCCCGCAGGGCTCCCCGTCAGCTGTGCCGGACCCCGAACTGCCTGGCCTCTGGGGCGTCCCGCCTCCCGCAGGGCTCCCCGTCAGCTGTGCCGGACCCCGAACTGCCTGGCCTCTGGGGCGTCCCGCCTCCCGCAGGGCTCCCCGTCAGCTGTGCCGGACCCCGAACTGCCTGGCCTCTGGGGCGTCCCGCCTCCCGCAGGGCTCCCCGTCAGCTGTGCCGGACCCCGAACTGCCTGGCCTCTGGGGCGTCCCGCCTCCCGCAGGGCTCCCCGTCAGCTGTGCCGGACCCCGAACTGCCTGGCCTCTGGGGCGTCCCGCCTCCCGCAGGGCTCCCCGTCAGCTGTGCCGGACCCCGAACTGCCTGGCCTCTGGGGCGTCCCGCCTCCCGCAGGGCTCCCCGTCAGCTGTGCCGGACCCCGAACTGCCTGGCCTCTGGGGCGTCCCGCCTCCCGCAGGGCTCCCCGTCAGCTGTGCCGGACCCCGAACTGCCTGGCCTCTGGGGCGTCCCGCCTCCCGCAGGGCTCCCCGTCAGCTGTGCCGGACCCCGAACTGCCTGGCCTCTGGGGCGTCCCGCCTCCCGCAGGGCTCCCCGTCAGCTGTGCCGGACCCCGAACTGCCTGGCCTCTGGGGCGTCCCGCCTCCCGCAGGGCTCCCCGTCAGCTGTGCCGGACCCCGAACTGCCTGGCTTCTGGGGTGTCCTGCCTCCCGCAGGGCTCCCCATCAGCTGTGCTGGACCCCGAACTGCCTGGCATCCGGCTGGCTGGGGGGCTACTCTTGCTCGAGGGGCTGGGCGGGGGGGGGGCTGCTCCCACACACTCTCCCCTTTCTCTGACCCCCATAGCTGAAGTCTGTCCCTCCGCACTGCCTGCGAGGGCTGCGGTTTATCTACTCTCAGCTGGAGGCCTTAACGTGCAGCAGATGTGTCAGCACGCTGGAGGTGAGTGCTGGCTCGAAGCCGTTCTACGCTGTAGAGCTCTAGTATAAATGGAGATGTACCTCACCGGGCTGGCCGGGACCTCGCGAGTCACCGAGCCCAGTCCCCTGCAAGCACCATCCCTAACAGATTTGCCCCAGGCCAAGGTTTGAACTCTCAATCCTGGGTTTAGCAGAGCAATGCTCAGACCACTGAGCGATCCCTCCCCTGGGCCAAGATCTGGTTTGCTGGGTGGTGTGGGCCCAGGGCGGGTGGCGCAGGTGCCACGGTGTTTCTTCCCGGGCAGTTAGCCAAGACGTGTCAGTCCAGTTCCCCGCGCCCGTCCCAGGCTCTGAGGTGCCCAGCTGCTGGCCATTCAGGTGGCTTGGGCTGGTCTGGATACTTCTCCCGCCTGCTGGGCCAGAGCGACTCTGCTTGGTGCCTTGCTGTGCTTCCCAGCCTGTGCCCTGCCATGCGCTGCAGCTGGAGCGAGGCTGCCTGTGCCTGCAATGTGCAGGCCCTTCGGAGAGCGGAGGCTCAGGCTTCCGTGTCCAGAGGCCAAGGGGTCATTCTGCACTCATGCCATGCTCACAGCAAAGCTGCTTTATTAGCAGCCCCCTGGCCTGAGCTGGGTCTGCCAGCAGGGAGCTCTCCAAGGGGTCCCAACTTGGATGCTCCCCTTGCTCTGCCAGAGCTAGAACTGCCAGGCGTCCCGCCTCCTGCAAGGCTCCCAGTCAGCTGTGCCGGAGCCAGAACTGCCTGGCCTCTGGGGCGTCCCGCCTCCCGCAGGGCTCCCTGTCGGCCCCGCTGGAGCCGGAACTGCCTGGCCTCTGGGGCGTCCCGCCTCCCGCAGGGCTCCCCGTCAGCTGTGCCAGACCCCGAACTGCCTGGCCTCTGGGGCGTCCCACCTCCTGTTGGGCTCCTGGAGCCGGAACTGCCTGGCCTCCACCTCCTGCTGAGCTCCCCACCAGCCCTGCCAGAGCCGGCTGGGGGGGCTGCCGGCCACTGGGGCAGGATTTGCTGAAGCTGTGGCAGCGTGCAAAGGGCTTGGGCAACCTTCATGCCTGGTCTCCAGGAGCTCCTGGTCAGAACATGCAAACGTGAATAGCTGCAGGCCCTCGGCCGTGCCAGGACACGGCATTTCTCCTTCCTTCCATGTCTTGAGCCGGGGCGGCTGCTGCTTCCTATGGGTGGGGACGAGTGTCTGAAGATGGGCAGGGTGCAGCCCTTCCATGCTGTCCCAGCTGCTCTGTGGTACCCAGCTCCTGTCCCGTTGCTTGCCGTGTGCTGCTGCTGATCTCTCTCCCCTTCCTAGGAGGTCATCTCTGCCTGCGGAGGGGATCTGAGCTCTGCCCTCCCTTGGCTGGAACTGCAGACCCTGAACTTCAGCCACAACTCCATCACTGCCCTGGATGGGTCACTGGTGAGGGGAGCGGGACCCGTGGTATGGGCTAGCTGTGCCGGACCCCGAACTGCCTGGCTTCTGGGGTGTCCTGCCTCCCGCAGGGCTCCCCATCAGCTGTGCTGGACCCCGAACTGCCTGGCCTCTGGGGCGTCCCGCCTCCCGCAGGGCTCCCTGTCGGCCCCGCCGGAGCCGGAACTGCCTGGCCTCTGGGGCGTCCCGCCTCCCGCAGGGCTCCCCGTCAGCTGTGCCGGACCCCGAACTGCCTGGCTTCTGGGGTGTCCTGCCTCCCGCAGGGCTCCCCATCAGCTGTGCTGGACCCCGAACTGCCAGAGGATGTGGTGAAGGCTAGGACTTCAACAGGGATCAAAGAAGAGCTAGTTAGATTCATGGAGGTTAGGCCCATTAGCGGCTATTAGCCGGGATGGGTAGGAACGGTGTCCCTGGCCTCTGTCTGGAAATGGGTGATGGGAGGGATCACATGAGGACTACCTGCTGTGTTCCCTCCCTCGGGGGCACCTGGCGCTGGCCGCTGTGGGCAGACTGGATGCTGGGCTGGATGGATCGTTGGGCTGACCCGTCTGGCTGCTCTGTTCTTAGGTTGGCTGTGATGCTGCCAGGCCCCATGGGCAGGGTGTGGGGAGTCTGGGGGGCAGGGCCTAGCCCTTCCAGTTTGCAGTGTGTCGTTGGTTGAGTCAGCGGGCTTGACGCAGATGCTCTCGCACCCCTTCCAGCAACTGCTGAACGCCCTGAAGGTCTTGGACTTGAGTCACAACCAGGTGCGGGACTGCGAGCACTACCTGACGGTGAGTGTCCGAGCCCAGTGTCTGCGCATCCCCGGCCGCACGTGGATTCCCATCCTGGAGCAGGCAGCTGCTGCGCTACAGGCTGGGACCCAGCCCTTCAGCCTGCCGAGCTGCCTGGGCACCTCCTGCCGGGTGGCCCCCTCGCCTGTCTGCCCCCTGTGTTTTCCCCTCTAGCTCGGGGTGGGCAGTTTTAGACGGGGGGCCACTTGAGAAACATTTGAAGTGGCCCTGGGGTACTCCGAAAGGGGCGGGGCCTCGGGGAGGGGCCAGGACACTTCTTGGCTTACCTGCCCACAGACTCTGCTTGGCCTGGGGTGGGAGGAGTCTTTGCCCTGCCCTCTGGAGAGAGAGCTGCCAGCTGTTGAGTAGGGCCGGGGGATGGTGAGGGGCCCAGGAAGTCCCTTGCGAGGGGCCAGCAGCTGGTGGTTGACCCTAAGCACAATGTGCCCCTTGCAGGGCGACAGGAGACTTCACGCTCCCCTGTCCCCAGGTCCTGATCAGCCTGGGGGCCAAGGGAGCAGCCAGGCATCTGTGGCCAGAGCCCTTTTGCCCACCCCCGCTCTGAGCCAGGCGCAGGCAGGAGTCCACACTTGGCAGTGGAGCCCCTTGCGACTGGCTTGCGGGAGGGCATCTGTGGCCAGAGCCCTTTTGCCCACCCCCGCTCTGAGCCAGGCGCAGGCAGGAGTCCACACTTGGCAGTGGAGCCCCTTGCGACTGGCTTGCGGGAGGCCCACGCCGCATGCTGAGCCATTGCTGAAATGCACCCCTGACGCCTGCCTGGAAGGAGCAGCTCTGACACCAGGGTCCCCTGTGTGCCCTGTCCAGCCCGCCGGCCC